CACCGAAATGATTTCAGCACAAAACCTTTGCTCAGCTCTCTGTCTCTGATCCATACCCGGCTGCCATCAGCAACACCCTGTTCTGCACAGAGCCTTTTTTCCATCTAATCAAGCTCCCTTTTTCGCAGGCGTTCCTCCCTGCAGCTGGAGGGGAGCACAGGAGCTGCTGCAGCTTCTTCTGCAAGTAGGGCAGGCTCAGCCCCAGCCTCGGTGATGGCATCTTGGACCTGAGCAGTGCAGCATCAGATCCCGGGGAGCTGTTCTGCTTGAGGCCCCATTTTTCCCAGTGGGAGGTCTTGGAGTGTGATGAAAAGAAAGGCTCAGGGCTTTCTGGAAATTATTTGATACGGTGATTTACAAGCTCTTTGCAAGAAATCCACCTGAACAGGCTTGTTTATACCTGGCTGAAGCTACACAAGGAGAAGCAAAAGGGGAACATGTCCCACAGAGGACTCCAGTGAACGCTGCTCCTGCATCTTGTTCACTTGTGATGTCACATCCAGGATGATGTGGGCAATATAATATACATGCATATAATGAGGAATGCTTCAGCACTGACTGGGGAGAGCAGACAGGGAGATGCAGCAGCACACCAAGGACAACACAAGCACTATAAAAAAAGGGAGTGCTTCTTGTAAGGCGTGGCGAAAGCAAGAAAACAAATGCAATTTTAGGATGTGGTGTGATGAGCATCTCAAATCTGTAACAGGACCCTCCTCAGTGTAAGGCACTCGCTGGGGGTCGTGACCAGGTGCCCTGGGAGCAGCAGCATTTTTCAATGGAACTTGTCAAGGCTCCTGTTTCAGGCTGGATAATTAGGCAAAGGGCCACCCTGACATGCTCATTTAGCACCACAACATGCATAGTTCATTTGTTCCTTAATACAAAACCCCTGGTGTCAATCGGGGTCAATCAGGGTTACTGGGAAAGCACCGTGCAGTGCAATCAGGCTGCAATCCAGCTCTTGCCAGCTGCCTTGCTCTTGTAGCAGCCTCTTCCATGGACAGGTGGGATTGCTAAAATCCACAGGGAAATGGCCCAGCACTTGATCTTTCTGCAGCAGCAACCTCTTCCCTGCCTGCACATGACCAGGCTGAGGCTGTAGGGAATTTTGGAGAGCTGCAAAGCGCCAGTTCTGACTTGGTGGGAACAGCACCACAAGCCAGCTCCTGGAGGAGGTGTGATGAGGTGGGAGGAAGCAGCAGGCACCTGTGCTTCTGCTAATTCACAAAAACAACTTATTTAAAGCTGGGTAACATGTATCAGGGTGAGCAAGAGAAGTGGAGGTCAGGAGCACTTTTGGGCTTCCACTCTGCTGGTCACCCACTTCCAGAGACACAGGCCTCCACAGCCCACACGCTTCTCCTAGGATGCACTACCAAAATGCTATGCTTGCACCTGAACTCCTCAAATGTCCTAGGCTCCCAGTCCTCACCATCATCCTCCGACCATGCCCACTAAGATCCAGAGCCAAAGAAAAACCTGCCATGCTAATGGATCCCATGGGAGCTTGGAGGCACTACCCAGCTGCTCACAGGCGAGATGCTCTTGGATCAGACTACACAAGCACTCAGCCCACAGCAGTGCAAAGATGAGGAAAGCTCAAGTCCCTTTTTTCTTTTGGTGGTTCAGCACCTACACAGCTCAGCCAGTAACTCCACAGAAAAAAAACAACACAACAGAGCACTTTTAGTATCTTCTTCTCTTTCATTAGGTTTGAGTGCACTTGGCTGAATGAAGTGCTGGGGAGGAGGCAGCTCCCTGGATACCTTCCCCAGGCAGCTGCAGAGGGTGGAAGGGGACAACAGGGACCCAGAGCCTCCAACTCCATCTTTAGATCAGGAGTAGGATGGGGATGAAAATACCATAGGTAAAGAATAGCACATCTTTCCAGGGACATCAGAATAGGGCCACAGATAGGGACAAAAGCCTTTCCTTCTCTCTGCATTTTGCTCTCCATTTTCTTCTGCCAGTTTCTTAACAGTGATTATCACATGACAACACCTCCCACACCCTCCTACTATGACTATTTGCCCCTCCTGATGTTGACCATATGTCCAACTAGTTAAGACTTGTTACATCCCGCTGGTTGCCCATCCCCAAAGCAGAAACCCACACAGACAGGTCACCAGGAGATTAGCTCCCAGTAGCATGCAACAGCCTAACATGGTCTCACCTCCACCAGCAGCCTACTGCATTTCATGGAGCCTCCCTAAGCATACATCTCCTCCATACCTCCCCATCATTTTCCCTCTGGCCACATGGTCCCTCCAAGATCCACCTCAACCACTCACAGGGACTATTCCTCGACAGCAGTGACGGATTTCAGTACCAGTTTGTCTGAGTGATGCTTCCCATCAAGCTGGGACAGCCCACAGAGACACAGGTAGAGCAGGCTCCCTCAGCCCAAGGGCATCACTGCCTCACTGGCAGCAGAGATGGCCTGGTTAGTGAAAATCCTTGTCCTACATGAGTATGCAAACATTGTTTATAGTTTTTTCCTGCTCCCAAGATATTTACATGGTTTTGCTATGAAACTGTAATTACATGCAGCCCACCAACAACATGGAGACAAAGCCATGACTGCTTGCATTGATGATACAAATAGATTTGCTGAATTTTAGCTCTGCTTTTCTGCAAAACTCTACCCTTTCTCCAAAAACCAGGCCACCATGGCCCATGCCCTCTCCCTCTCTGTGACTCAGGCTGTTTGAAGCCGGTGGTGGACTTTGTCCAGGCTCCAGTGGTACACACAGAGGGTGACCATCCATCTCACCCACAGCTCACGCTCCTCTGCACGTACCAGACCCTGGCTCAGATGTGCTCATTAGTTTTGGTGTAACTTCCAAGGACAGCTTACAGTCAAGGTCCTAATTCATAAAGCAATTAACGGATCAAGCCTCGCTACTTCAAAGAGCTTGTTCTGGTATTTGAGTGAATATTGGGGCTTGGGACAAGCTCATGTGAGCTGCAGGCAAAAAGAGGATCAGATCACAGAGCGATTTGCTCAGAAGATCAAGCAGACCTACGGCCTGACTGTGTTAACAGATCTTGCAGTATTTTCCTTTCCTCAGAATTTTTTTGTTAAGAATATTCACAGACTTGCATTTCTTCCTCAGCTCTTAAAAAAATCCCAAATCCCATAAACCAACCCATCTGTTCTGAGCTGGATAATGATCCTGAGTAAAGGAAAACAAAACCTAAGACACCACAAAGCCTTGGTGGGACCTCGCTGTGTGAAGGCACATGGATATCACAATGATCATCATCAGCAAGAAACCCTGAGATGGTCACACACACGGGGAGAGTTTGCCATGAGCATTTGAAGTTGTTTAGCCAAGAGCTGAAGGAGCCAAGGCAGAGTCTGGCCTTTAAAATCTGAAATTTAATCCCAGGTGTCAGTGAGTGACCCTGGAGACAAGAGCTGGGGAGAGGTCACCTTTTCCGTGATAACTGTAGAGAGCTCCACGTTATCAGGTACATCCTGACCCCAAATTAATTCTGTAATTAATTAACAGGCAGTGCCAAAGGAAGCACATTTAAGCCATTTCCCCAACCCATGAGCTCTCTGAAGCCTGGAAACAACACTGTTGCCCAAGGGCACGCTGACACAGGGCTTCAGCCCTGCCCAAGGGACTAAGCACTTGAACACCTTCTCTTCTCATCCAGGCCCCCTGAAGGAGCAATGAGCAGAGCAATTTCAGTAAAAAATGACATTACAGACAAGGAGGTGGCCATCTGATGGGTCTGCACCTCCGTGTGCCGGGAGAGCGTCTCTCCTCCACCATGAACGTGACCATGAACAGCAGCAGCTTCGGAAGAACAGCAAATTACTGGGAGTAATTGAAACTGCAGGGAGGAGTTAGGGACATAGAATGTAATTATCCACTGCGGAACGGAGCCAAGATTAGCAATCCTACTTCTGGTCATTTAAAGTTCTCATTAACTTTTCCATGTGCTGATGATATCTGTTTTGTGTCTTACTGGCTGTGAGATGCAGCACTTTCAGAAGAAAACCCTGGATCTCTTCTCAAAAGGGTCTCAATTACCTGTAGGGGAGGGGGTAAGGGTCTGGAATTTAATGCAGGCCTTCTCCAAGAGTCTGGAAGATCTCTAACCCTGGCTACCAAGGCTGGTAGAGGTAGGAAGAGGCTTCAGCTCAGCCCCTGTTGCACCACTCTCCTCTCCAGGCATTGATAGCTGGGTTGGCTAGGGTACCTTTTTGGTGCTTAGAAGATGACCTTGGCGGGCAACACAACACTTTAGAACTTCTGACTTCATTTGGTGAGACTGGGTGGGTCTTGGACCACCTCAACCTCCTTCTCCTCTACTTGCACTCTACCTCAGCAGGCTGCAAGACACCCAGCCAATTCACATTCAAACTATACCTGGACATCTCCATATCTACCTTGTGCTCAGCATCCTCTCCTGCCCTGCACCCAGGCACAACAGCACAGGGTCCTTGCCATCTGGAGAGGGCAGCAAACTCCAACGAGACATTGTGTGTCCTCAGCTGATTCAAAATCTTCTTGCTGAGGTCCTGCCACCTTCCCATCCCATCCCCTTTTCCTTCCACCCTGCAGGCGCTGTAGAACTTCCTTCACCATCTCAAGCCTTGCCAAAGCATCAATCCACAGCACCAGAAGGAGGATGCTTGTTGGTGACTCTGGCACCTGTGTGACCTGTTTCTATTTCCTCACCCTGTCCACTCACAGGCACTGCTGAGGGTGTCCTAAAAACGGCCACCCCTTCCTCCACACCTTGTGTGAAACCAGCATGAAATAAATGTACACACATGAAATCCATGTCTTTGTCAGGAGGTGGAAGACCATGGTCTCCAGCCCTGGGGCTTCTCCCTGGAGGGAACTGGCTTCAGCAGCTTCCTACAGGCTTTTTTTAAACCTTTGAAAGAAAACACACCATCTTTTCTCCGTTTTAAACAAGGACAAAGGACCAACCCTTGACTTGGAAGGTGCCCACCCACCTCCCAGCCCCCTTACCTCCACCAGGTGAGGCGTGGGGTTGAAGCCACACATGTTGCAGACCTGCTGGTGGCAGGTTGTGCAGCTGTTGTAGTTGGGGGGCTCACTGGAGCCCACGTTGATCTCCGCCTTGCACAGGGGGCACAGGACCCTTGCTTTCGGCACTTCCTTTGGCTTGACCCCCTGCTCTGGCTTGGCTGCCTTGGCTGCTGGGGCAGCACCGGCCCGGCCCGGTCCCCCCGGGGCTTTGGGACCAGCTTCCTTGCTGGCATCGCTGAAGACTATTTTTGGAGGCACTTTGCCAGGAGAAGGCTGGCTGGGAGGGGGGGCCTCTGGCTGGACAGACATGAGCGTGCTCGCCTGGGTCAGGAGGGACGCCCCAAAGCCAAAGATCTTCCCTGTGAGACCCTCCTGGGGCTGCTCTTGGGCTGCAGGCCCAGGGGCCGGGGCAGCAGGCTTCACCCCTGTGTCTCCTGTTGTCTTTCTCTGCTCAGAGGAGGAAGGCTTGGCTTGCTGATGCTGCGGGGAGGACCTGGCTGCCTCTGGAGGCTTTGGCTGGCCTTGGCCGTGGGGTTCCCTCTGCGGCGCGGTGGGGTGAGGCTTGGGCGGCTCAGGCTGAAGGGCACGGGGGGCTGGGGGGGACTTATCCACTGCTGGGGGTGGCGGGTGCTTGGCTGGGGACTGGGAGGGGGATGGTGAAGGGGAGTGCAGCTGCTGCTGGCTCTTGGAGCGAGGAGCAGTGGTCATGTCCATCCCCAGCGCCCGCTGCATCTGGCAGTTCAAGCACAACCATTCCTTCACCTGCAAGACAAGGAGAGGACAAGGGCAGTGAGCGCCATGCACCCCCAGCACACTGTCAGGCTGCCCAGACAAACCCAAGGTAGCTGTAGGAACAAGTCATCAACCCCCAAAATACATTTTGGTACCACGTTCTTCACCAAAGCATCTTGCAGTCAGGGCAAACAGACCCCATCTGTCACAGGTACCCACGGCACAACGCGGCAGAGCAAAAGCAAGCTTTAATTAGCCTTGGTTTGCCTCCAAGGCTTCTGCTGTAAAGCTCCTGCTAACCATGAGGCCCTGCCTGCAGGCAGCTTAGTTTGTGCCACTCCCAGGGGTAAAGGACTCTTTCCAGGGCTCCTGTCCCACCACCTCCCTAAAGCCCATTTAAAGCAGCTCCCCAGTGCTGACATGTTGCCCGTGCCACTGGCAGTGTCCCAGGGGAAAAGCCACCATGAGATGCCTGATGCTTCCCTGGGGCCAGCAAAGACAGCTTTTCTGGCATCAGGGTGGGGGGTTGCGATATCCAACCCCAAAATCTCATGCTGCAGCCCCCTGGGGAGAACAGGCAGCAGGTCCTGCTTCATGATGTACCCACACTGCTGGGCAGGCAAAGTGCTGGCCAGGAGCAAACCCGTGATCTTTGCTGTCACCGCGATGGACTTTTGGATGCAAATGAAAAATACAATGGTCCCTGGCTAAGTGGTGATAAATGAAAGACTTCCTCCCCTTGAGAGATGTTCCCCGTGACTGAATGTCTGAATTAAGTTAATCAAAGAGGCCATATGAGAGCTGTGAGCATCCCCAGGATGCTCAGTGGCTGTGCAAATAGTAATATACAGCTGCAGGACAACTGGAGCTGCCTGCAAAAGATTGCTCTGAGACAAGCAACTAAGGTGGCAACAAGGACCAGGGCATTCCCAAAGACCAGAGCAGCACCCAGGAGAAGCAGGCCCAGAGCTGGGCGTGGGCTGCTGGAGATCCAGCTCCACCAGCCCCTGTGCTCCCTGGGGCTGTGTCCATGGGCCAACAGGTACCGCATGAGGGCTGAATTTTCCTGCCATTTCAGGAGCTCTCTCCTCATCCCAGTATTACAGATCACCTCTGAGGCTCAGCTTAATCCCCATTGCAGAGACATTAGCCTTTCCAAATGAGCCACATTTTATTTAGTTCCTGAAAATATTGCTTTAGTTTTTAGCATTCCTTACAGTCTTGCTGTCTCTCTTCTGACACACAGAATTCCTCACTTTATTTTTGCTCTCATATCTATTTCAGAAGAGTTTCTCCCAAAATCCCATCAGCTTTGGGCACAGTCCCCATGAGCTCCACTTTAGGGAGAACCAATCCTTTCTGTTAAGGTTCTCTCTCCCAGTATCCATGAAATGCAAATCTTCCCTCTCCGCATAATCTCCTCATCCACACTTTAAGACCCACTGGCAAGGTGGAAAGCGGGGGAAGAGGAGATCTTCCCAGCCCCACCACGGGGGCTGAATTACAAGAGACCACGTGCCATGCTCCTGATCTTGAATTGTCTGTATTTATTGTAGCCTGACACAAGATTTAGCTTTTCTGGAATAGAAAAAAATACTTTGCCTCTCTCCTGCATAAACTTCCATACAAAATATTGAGGGAATTCAACTGTTCGTTCCCAACTCTCTGCCAGCTTTAAAAAGCAGCAAGCTCTGTAGGTGAATACCAAATAGCTCCCAGCTCCAGCTCTGCTGGTTCTCCTCTCCCCATGCCATGGTTGGTGCCTGTTCTGCTCTGGCCAAGGCTTGTGCAGCAGAACTGCTCCTCGGGCACTGGCTGGTACAGGCCCCAGGTCCTACAGCCATGCCAGAGGCTCATGGACAAGCCCACCAAGATCCTCCTGAGCTCAGCAGCTGGGGAACAACATGGTTGTTGAAGCTTTCTCACTTTCCACAATAAACCTGGTTTACATGACCAAGATAGAAAAAAGCCAGAGGGCTTTCAGATGGGATAGAAACCATCACATTGCCCTTGGTGACTTGGTGAGGAACTGCTAAGGAACACCTGTCCTGAGGAACAGCAGAAAACTGCAGGAAACACAGCAGGGTGGTGTGCTCCAAGAGTGCACATTTGAAATGTGAATTTGGTTGGGATTATCACAGATTGTCTGACCAGCCTCTACAGATGCAACCAGTGACATGACATGTGGATTACACAGATCAAAGATGACTTAAACTATCCTGAAGGCAAGACAGTAAAGAGGAAGGGCCAGGTTGCCTCACCAAAGATCCTTCTCCCAAGAAAGACAAAGAAGGACAGCAGAGCCTCACCCTGACCAGAGGGCCTGATCTCTCCTATGAACACAGGCTGAGAGAGTTCAGCCTGAAGAAGAGAAGGCTCTGGGGAGACCTTATAGTTGCCTACAAGAAATCTGGGGAGAGACTTTTTAAAAGGGCTTGGAGTGATAGGAGAAGGGGTAATGGTTTTAAACTGGAAGAGGGGAGATTTAGGTTAGACATTAGGAAGAAATTCTTTAGTGTGAAGGTGGTGAGACACTGGAGCAGCTTGCCCAGAGAAGCTGTGCTGTGCCATCCCTGGAAGTGTCCAAGGCCAGGTTGGACAGGACTTAAAGCAACCTGTTCTAGTTGGAAGTTATCCCTGCCCATGCAGGGAGGTTGGGACTTGATGATCTTTAAGGTCTTTTCCAACCCAAACCATTCTAGGATTCTGTGTGAAATCTTTACTAAACCAACTCCTGAAAGTTTTGACTTGGTGGAGAACTGGGCAAATAAGACACAGAATTAGAAAAAATTCTGGACTATTTGGCTTGCATCATTGTCCTCTAAATGCTCCTCTTGCCTGCAGACTCATCACACAGGGGGAAGATGCTCAGAAAACAGCACAGAAATAGGGGCAAGAAAAGGAAAAGTATAATTTTCCCTATTGCTTCTTCATTGCTGCTAACAGTCTGGGTACATAGCCAAATGAAATGTCTATCAGTGAGAAGAGAAAAAACAAAAATGGCTGGAAATTCAAGTCCCAGCTCACCTTCCGGGAATGCTGAAGTCATTGTTATACCCTAAAATAAGGGGGGGGTAAAGCTGTGAGCTCTTGAATTGCCTGAGACTGGCTGCTCTGAGCCTGCTCATCTTCATCGCTTCAGGAAATATAACTAGGGGAAATAAGGAAAAATGAAAGAAAATGGGGACATAGATAATAGTTCTGAATCTGAACTGATGCCTCAATGAAGAATGAAGAAGGCCAGCTAAGAATGAAGCTGGCTGCTCTGCAAAATGAAAGGTGCCATCAGAAATAGAAAATCCACAAATATCTGAGCTCAGAACACCAAGGTCAGCTGAGAAGTTGTGAGGTGCTTAAACCACATGAAAACAAAGGGGCTTCAGGCAGAATTCTCTTGGGGAGCAAGGAAGGATTGATGGAGGGCATCAGGGACAAAAGTCAGCCTGGAAAGGACAGAGGTCCATCACTGGGTGGAGATGGGAAAGCTGTTAATGAGAGCGATGTGGCAGAAGTGCTGTAATTACTGTCATTGAACATTTGGGAAGAAGCAGGATAACACTCATTATGAGGATGAAGCATTTCCAACTTATTAGCAACGGAGAAGAACATTCAGCAATATCTACCAGCACCAGAAGATTTAAATTTGGCAGATCTGAATAATTTTGCATCCAAGAGATCTAAGAGAGCTAAGAAAACTGCTGTGTGCTGATGTTCACTTTTAAGAGGAAATTTTAGAAGACTGGAAGTGTCTTCTGCTTGAATATACAAGGAGGCTGAAGTACAGCCCAAAGGGGACAGCTAGCCAGACATCTGCCTGGGACAGAAAGACAGCACTGGATTCAAACAGCAGAGCACTGAAGGGTCTGCATTCAGGCCAGTCAACGTGGGTTTAGGGAAAATAGGTTATGGCAAGCAAACCTGATTTGATTCTCTGCACATTTTATATTGGTGATGCACAGAAGCAATACCCTCGATGTCCAGAAGGTGTTTTGACCTGAGGTGGTGGGAAAAAAACATTATAATAGTGAAGATGCAAAATGGGTTTCAGACCAGTTACCTGGCTGAGCTGGGAGACAAGGATTCAGCACCACCCCAGGATCTCACTGTGGCCACCACCACTTCGTGGCAGATGTTGGTAAAACAATAAATATCAATGAAGATGAGATTCTGCTGCCTGGCAAACCTGTGCTCACTCCACCTGGGAAGCCCAGAGCTGGAGGCAGGAGTGAGGAAGCTCAGCCTCCTCTTCCAGCACTGAGGGACTCCTTCCAGAGCCCTCAACAGCTCTGCACCGACATTTTATTTTAAAGAGATTAGTAAAATGCTGCAGGAGATACAGACCAGATCTGCAAGAGTGATCCTGGGGATGCAGAAAATGTCTGAAGTGAGAGAATTAAAGAGGTTGATCTTTTTTGTTTATCAAAGAGAAGATTAAGAAGTGACTTGATTACGATATAGCAGCACATTCAGGGGAAACAATATCAGGTACTAAAAGGTTCTTAATTAGGCAGAAAAAGGCATGAAAAGAACTAATGACTGGAAATGGAAGCCAAATATACTAAGCATCACTTTTAACAGCAGATGTTTCTAACCATTACAGCAAATTATACACATGCTGTTGGGCTCAGCAGAAGACTCAGGAGGTAAAGCTCGTAGGCCCTTCATCTACAGGGTATTTTATACCCCTCTTGATCTTGGAAGCTTTGCAAGTTTGACCCATCCAGTTTTCACTGGTATGACTGCACCCAACCCCTGACCAGCCCAGCCCCACCCTGCACGCAGCACTCAACGCACCTACCACCACCAGACCCCAGCAACACTCAAGGCTGCTCTTCTAACCCCCTTCCCAAATCCTGCTATTCCCTAACATGTGGCCAGGTCTGCAACCTGCAGACCATGCAGGGCTGCCAGATGTGCCTCCCCCTCTGGAAGCTGTGCCTGCAGCTGCCAGCACTGACCATTTGCAAATGATATCAGGCATGAAAATGTACAAATCAGCATTTCCCTAAAAAAACTTCAAATAACGACAA